CAGTCTCCACCACATGATCACCAAGACGCTTTTGGTAAGCCAGCAGCTCACTGCACCTGTCCCTCCTCTGAATTAGCAGGGTGCATACAAGAAGTCTAAGGAAGCAGGACTATAGCTATACAGGCGTCAACAAGGAAAACAAGAGAAAAGGTAAAATGCTCACCTTACACTCATGAGCACCTGAGTTCAACACCCAGAGTCCACATGGAAAAGTGGGGACATAGCGGCAGTGTAAGCCTAGTGCTGGGGAAGTAGACATGCACGGACTCCTAGATCTCGAAGAACAGCTAACCTAGCCTACTTGGTAAGCCTGAGGCAGCGAAAGACTGTTTCAAAAAGAAATTGATGGTTGGGGACTGGAGAGATGGCTCAGCGGTTAAGAGCTCTGGTTTCTCTTCCAGAGGACCCAGGTTCAATTCTCAGCACCCACATGGCAGCTTGCAACTCCAGTTCCAGAGGAACGGATGCCCTCTTCTGGTCTCTGTGGGCACTGCACCCACATGGTGCACATACATGCAGGCAAAACACCCATATACATAAAATTTTAAAATGAAACAACAAAAGTTATTAGGCAGCCAGTGCCTGAGGAATGACCCCAGAGGAAGTCCTCTGACCTCCACACACATGTACACACATGCACATGTACCCAAACACATATGCATACAGGAAAATAAAAAGGCTGAAGAAACAGTGACTAAGCAAGAAAAGGAATCCTCAGGACCCCTTCAGTGACTGGAAGGAGGCTCTGAAGGTAAACATCACCTCCTGGGCAGATGAAGAGGAAGCTGGCTCAGAGTTGGTTTTTCACCCAGTGGTCTGGAACAATAACCCAGCAGGACCCATTCCACAGTAACAAGGGCTCACACAGCCAGGCCTGCCTGGGACCTCCCACCACCTTCCATCACCATCCTCAGGGCCCAGGACAGGTACCTTGCAAAGGCCACTCGATGGTGTGGTTGAGGTCCAGAGAAGGCTGCATGGAGAAGCCGGCTCGGAAGTTGATGTTGCTGATGCCTGATATTCTCACGGAGTGGCGTCCACTGCTGTATACCTAGAGCAGGTCCCCACCCACAACACCAGAGCATCAGAACTCAGGACTCCAGCCCAGAAGCCACTGGCCACAGCTGGTAAAGCCCCACGCCTGCAGCTATAGCCCTCTCACCTCTGTGAACACACGGGCAACGTGCCTGCTCCGTGAACACACAGAAGCCCAGCTTATCCACTCTGCTGGAAGCTTCTGCTTCTGCTCTCTCCTAACTCCTGCAGGCCCTGCCTGTTCTCCTACTTGTCTGCCATCCTACTGCACCTTCCCTGGAGGCGCTGTGGCTCTGGTCTCAAAGACACGCAGATCTGGAACATCGAGCTGTCAGCAAGGCCCCTTCACCTGCAGCAGCCGCCACAATGCCCTGCAGCTCACAGGAGCCCAGTGAGTGTTCAGTCAGCAGGGGCTCCCACCCCTCCAGCAGGCCATGCCTGTCCTCCTGCCCGGCTTCCAGCATCTTCCGGATACAGCAGTCTCCTGCCAGCCCTGTCTCTCTAAGCTCCATCTCCAAAGTCAGCCTTGCTCTGTTTACACTCCCTACACAAGACGGGAGTGTGAGCCACGTGCCAATTTAGCTAGACACTGAAGTTTCTGTCTTGGCCTCTCTTAACATCCTCCCAAACCACTCCATTCCCTTGCAATTGCAAAGCCGGTTGCTCCTTGGCTCTTGACCCTGCTCTCCTGTAGACAGACTCACATCGCTGTCCACACACCCCAGCCTCTCCACCTGAAAACCCAGTGTCCCTACCTTGATGGCCCACAGCCCAGGGCGCTCAGGCTTAAAGGCTACGACCTTGGCTGAGTCTGGAATGTTGAGGAGCACATTGAGACCTTCGTCCGTCTGCAGGACCCTTCCTGCGGAAGTGCCAGATGCCACTCAGTCTTCTCTCTCTCCCCTGGGTCCCCAGGTTCCACACCCTGTCTCCAGGAACCCACGGTCCCCCAACACTAGCCTCAAGAGTCCTCGGGACTGACAAGATTGTCATCACTTTAAGTCCCCGTTGGTCAGCTGCCACCAGCCTTCCAGCTTCTTCACCTGCAGGGACACCTCTGCAGGTGTCCCCTCGCTCCTCCCTAATTTCCGTACCCTTAAGTATGAACCCCTTGGCACCATTGCCTCTTTGCAGGGTGTGGGAGGATATGTGGTATATATCTGTTGAGGGTGTGTGCATGTGAGCGTGTGCACACATGCGCACATGTACATAAGTCAGTTTCCTCCTCTCGTCAAGTGGGACCCAAGTCTTCAGAATTGGCAGCAAGCATTTTTACACACTGGGCCATCTCACCGGTCCATTTTTTTCTTTTTGAGACACGGTGTCTTGCTACACTTGGAGCTCATCCATTTGTCTGGTTAGGGAGCTCAGAGACCCACCTGCCTCCACCCTTCCCCTCAGTGCCGAGGGTACGGGATGGTCGCCACACACGATTTTAACATGGGTGCTGAGTATCCAGACTCGGGTCCTCGTGTTTGTGAGGTGGGCACTTTATTGACTGAGCATCCCCCAAGCCCCCTCCTCCCATGGCCTTTTTCTGTTTCTTCCTGGGATTCCAGCTCAGTCTTGAATCCAAACAGGAGCACATACCCAGTGGGTCCCGGACTTCAATCTCAGGCCCTGGTCCGCTCAGTGAGATGGTGACCTCCTTCAGGCTGGGGTCGAAAGGGAGTCTCCAGGTGTGCTCCCCTCCCTCCTCGTGGTCTGCAGACAGCAGATGTACTTTGGAGGCCTGGATCGCTGACTCCACCCACTTCAGCACCTGAGAAAGGTACAGAAGTTGAACTAGTGGGTGTGTCCGGGCTTTGACATGTCTGGCCACCGGATACAGTTCTAACAGGCTTCCGCTGTGTGCAGAATCCACACACTCCCTGTGGATTTTGGAGTGACAAACAATCTCTTCAGTCTCCAAGGCCACAGACTCATCACTGTCCTACACTTGGCCTGATTGGCTTCTATGGCTTCCAAACAGTGGCTGTATGTTGATACCAGGTGACTCAGAAACAGAAAGGACCAAGCACAGGCTTCTCTGCAGGCCACGCCCCTGCCTCTCATCTGTCTCTGGTGCCCATGAGGAAGCCCCTGGTGCATACTGGGTGCCTAGGAGATCCGGAGGCTCCATCTGTGTGGTTCCTGGAGCCACAGGCTTCTCACGGGGTACGAATCATCTAACCAGTACTGTGGAGACCCATCGTCAATCAGATATGCTAAAAATCTGCAATGTGTGGCTGGGGGGTCACTGTGTGGAGTGCTTGCCTAGCATGCAGGAGGTCCTGGGTTGGATCCCCGGCACTGGAAAAGAAGACTTCCTTGTACTACAACAATTGGAGGGAAAACTCTGACTACAACTTTTGCTTTCAATAGGAATGGTGCTCAGAGGTCAGAGTGTCCCTCTCCGAGGATTCAGAGCCCTTTTGGAAAAATGCCTTCTGCTAAATGTGGAAGGAATGACGCAATTAGGAAACCAGCATCTTGCAACTAATAATGAAATAATTGTTTCGGGCAAGGATCCTCTTCAGATGCTAAAAGCACAGGGTGTAAGATTGATGGAGACTAAATATCCACACAGAGCCAGGGTGTCACACCACAGGCACTGAAGTCAGTGTGGGGTGGGGAGACATGGCCTTGCCATACACAGCTGCCTGTCACCACTCTACCCAGTGACACAATTTGTCATCAGCTACAGTAAAACTGTAGCTGTTTATCTCTTGATGTCATCCATTAGAAAGAAACCACAGCACCAACCCCAAGACACCCCTCCACACACACACCAGCCCCCACCCACCCTGGGACAAACTCAGGTTAGAATTAGAAAGCAGGGGGATACATTCGTGACACCTCGGGACAAAGACTAGAATTTAGAACATGTGGCAGAGCCTCTTCGGCTGGTGTCACGGAAAGGAGTGGACGGCTCCAGGCTGGAGAGGCCGTAAGAGACAGAACAGCCAAGTGGGGAAGGCAGCAATAATTCCAACCTGAGCCTCAAAGGTGTCTTCAGAAAACGCCGGGAGGGCCCAGGGAGACAGCTTGGCAGGTAAAGCACTTGCCATGCAAGCATAAGGAGCAGATAGCCAGTGCGAAGACAAAAAGGCGGGTGGGTGTGGCAGCCCACCTGCAATCCTAGTGCTTGGGAGGCAGAGACAGGGGATCCCTAGACCAAGCTGGCTAGCTAGACCAGCCTACACTGGGAATTCCAGGCACAGTCAGAGACCCCGCACCAATAAACTAAGTGGAGAGTGTCGGGGAGCACACCTGACGTCAATTCATGCTTCCACATGCCCAGAACATGCACCCTCAAATGTGTGCATGTACATACATGCAAAAGAAACGACATGCTGAGGCCAACTGGGGGAAACCAAGCGAGGACTTAGTACTAGATCACAGTAATAAAGTTCATTAATTCTATTAGAACAATCTAGGCTATGCAGGGGTGGGGTGACATAAGTCTCAGGCGAGGAGCACTTTCATAGCACACATGGGACCCTGGGTTCCAGTCACAGCAGCCACAATGAAAAATAAGTAATTATAAATTATTTATGGATAAAGCATCACAAGTCAGCAAAACCCAGAGGGATGAGGAGAGAAAAACGCAGGGGAGTGCTGAAGTGTCGGTAACTGCGAGGGTTGGGGAAGTTGTACGCTTGCTTGATTTTTGAGACAGGGTCTGTGTAACCCTTGCTGGTCTAGAACTTTCTATGTAGATCAGGTTGGCCCCAAACTCAGAGATCTACTTCCCTCTATCTCTGAGTGCTAAGATTAAAGGCCTGTACCACCATGCCCAGCTTAAAAGTCCTCTAAAAAGGATAATGTTGTGGTGAGTTTATCATACAGCTGGGCATGATGTTTGCTTGCCAACGTCAGTTGACTACAAATGTCTCCCTAGAATGCTGCCTGAAGGAGGAAAAGCTCTGTGGTTGATTAGCAGTGTCTGCCACGGATATGAGACTAGGAAACAGTGGCTTGCCTGCTACCTGCAGGTCGCTCTGGCCCTGGCTGGCAGTCCTTCTACTCTGCCACAGAAGGGTAGGGAATTGAAAGATCTGCCCGAGAGAGTTCAAGAACGAGCATGTTTTGCTGAGACTGAGAGCATGTGCTCGGAGACCTGAGCTATCACAGAAGAAGAATTCCACATTTCCCTTCTCCCCGTATTTGAGCATCTTCATTCTCCTGCCTTTGCCTGGTGTTCTTGGCTGATGGACCAGGGCGAGGGTCCTCATCTACATGGGGGAGGATGGAAGGAAGGCAGCGCCAAGCAATCAGCGATGCCAGGACGCCACCGCCAGACGGTAAAGGAGCAACTCTGTGCCTCAGGTCACGCAGTGGGGGGCAGAGGATGTGACCCTCCAAAAAAAAAAAAAGCTGCCCCAGGTGACAATCTCCCAGACAGGTTACATCAGCTACTGTACCACCAGGGCTACTGCAAGCTGTTGTGGAATGTTCTGGGGGAGAGAGGATGCTTAGCGATTCAGGGTACCAAGCCACAAAGATGGCTGGGACATGACAGCACCCTAGTGACCCCAGCATGAGGCAGCCTGTCTAGGGTTGGGGGAGTGTGACTCTCGTGCTCACAGCAGATCCAGACCACCATGTAGGGTTAGGCCGAGGGTCAAGGCCTCCTGGATCCGGCTATGCCCTCAGGGCTCCAGAGCGGAATCAGGGAGCCTTCCGAGCAGAGGGCCTTCATTAAGCAAGCACAGGGTTTATTTGGCGAGCGTGATAGCTTCCAGATGTCTATGGGGTGGGGCCTGGGAGGCTGCCATGTGCTGGCCTGAGCTCTGGCCGCTGATGGAGAAGGAAGGAAAGAATCTGGCCTTGTTACTCTCTGCCAGATGACTGCTTCTGGGTCCTTCATGGCTGATAAATCATCCCCAGAGGCGCTGCCAGGATGCTTGTCAGCCAGGGCAGCTGAAGAAGCTGAGGGGACCAGGAAGAGGAGTGGGGCTCACAGTTACAGATGAGGAAACTGAGGGTTCAGCCTGGAGTCACAGAGGCAGTACCCATCCAGTCCCAAGGCTCCACCACTTGCCGGCTGTGCACCCCAGATTCTCTTCCCAGCTCTGCCTTGCTGAGGACACTCTAGAGAGTGTACCCCTATTCTTCAGGGGGCTTCGATAGGGTGGGGAAGGGGAGAAACCTCTACCCCTCCGGCAGTCTGGGGGAGTTCAGCTGCGGTCGGGTCTCTCTATGCCCAGTGCCATGCCCAGTGCTCTTCCTTCACCCCAGCAACCACCTCAAGAGGCAGAGGTCCCATCAGCACAGCTGTGCACACGGGAGAGGGCAGCAGCATCCTGTCCCATGGGACTAAGTGTGGGGCGTGAGGTCCCCGCCGAAGGCGACAGAGCTGTGATTTGCTGCGGTCCCTGTCTTCCTCCAGCAGCCCAGGTCTCACCCTCTCCACTCCCTCGAACGCTGCTGGGAGGGGTCCAGGATGAGGTCATCTTCGGCCCCTCCCGATCCATTCATCAGAACCACCCAGTTAGGAGCCTCCTCACCCCCATGGGTGTAGAAGGCAAGTCACCTCTCTTGGAAGGGGTTTGCAGGATCTGGGTAATTTGTCAGGTGTGCCCGCCGCTGCTGAACAAGAGATGAGTCTCAACCCCCAAAACGGGCTCAGCCGAGGAGTAGGCTGTGGAGTGGGGGGGGCAGCGAGCCAGCAGGGGAAGGAAGCTTAGGGCTCTCCTGGGAAATTACAGGGTGGCTCCTAGGCAAGGCAATGAGGTGTGTCAGCTCTTCTGTCCCTTCGTGGTCTCTGTCTCCCTCCTGCGTCATCACGGTTTGTAGCTGAGTGTGGACTGGGTGGACTGGGCAAAGCCTGTGGGTGCCACATATAGGAGGCCATGGTCCTACCCAAAGCTTGATTTCAAAAAATGCCCACCTTGGGGCCAGGGACCAAGGCTCAGTAGACAAACATGCATGATGTGCATGAGCTCAGATTCTCAGGACCACATAGAGGCCGGGAGTATAGGCGCGGGCCTGTAACCCAGCTCTGTGTGGGAGGTCACAGACAGGCGATCCTGGCCTGACTAGGCCAGGCAGTCCAGCTGCCCTGGTTAGTTTCAGGGTTAGTGAAATACCATGACTCAGAAAGTAAAGTGGAGAGCAAATAGAGAAGATGACCAGTGCTGACCCCAGCCTTGAAATGCACTTACACATGAACACATATTGTCACACACACCATACACCCTGGGACAAACCCAAGGTCACATTGCCTGCCTCCAATACAGGATGATCAGAGCTCAAAACTGCCTTGCCAGGGAGAGAGGTTCTTCAATCCCCCTGTATATTCTAGAATAAAATCCAAAAGGGGGCTCCTTCAGCCTGTGAGGCCAAGTTTACAACCAAAACAAGCTGAGTGCCAGGACAGAGCACCCCGGGTTGTTCAGATTGGCTGTGTCCTCCTTGACTGTACATGCAGCAGGTACTTAATTAACAGCCATGGTGGCGTGTGCAGAGTGTATCAACCCTGCTGCACGGAACATACTCCGTGAAGGTCAAAGTGTTGGCTTCACATGCCTCCTCAGCAGTCTGAAGACTTCTCCCAGCTAGAGCCCCACTGGCCTGGCTTCCCTGGGGAATGATCATGGCCTTGGCTGTCCCAGCCATTTTCCCAGGCTTGCTGAGTGTCTGGGAGCATCTAGAAGGAGCCAGATCCAAGGCGTGCAGCTCTCCACACCCGGGAGCATCCGTGCCACCATTTGGAGGAGCCCAACCCAGCCCTTAGTGGTCCTACCAAGTGAGACTACCACCACAAAAAGCCGATGGGCTCGCCTGGGGTGCCTGGAGACAGGGTCCTGCCTGGCACACTGTCCTCGGCAACTTGCCTTGCCTCTGTCTGAGTTGTCTCTGGAAGGAAGCAAGCGTCTCCCCTAAAATCAGGGACAAAAAAACTGTCCCTCCACTCCGAAGTGCCTCCCGCCCTCATGTGGGGCTCAGTGCCAGGAGAGGCTGACGAGCCAGAAATGAAAGCTTGCTGTGTCACAGAGACACATAAACGCCATCTGTCAACAGGGAGCTGAGGCACGCTAATCTAAACACGGCCCCAGAGACCAATCCTCTCAGTTCATAAATACACAGCTCACAAAATCCGTCCTGGAGGCCACTGCCTGCCTCTGAGACACCTTCTTTCCCAGAGCAGCGGGCACAGGAATCCCAAGCTCTCTGTCCCCTAGCGACTTTCGGGCAGTGCCCGTTACCACTCTTGGGTGTCTGTCTGAAGTGCCCTACATAGCCCAGCCCTGAGGGCACCCAACCTAGCAGCATTAAATCATCACACAAGCACAGAAGACAATTATGTAAAGCAGTACAGGGAGCCAGGAAGGGATGTGTAAAGAGACTTGACCTTGGCAGGGAGTCGTGGATGGCTTCCTGGGAGGGCACATATATCAGGAACGAGGAGCTGAGGGAAGGAGGCCTGAGCAAAGACCCTGGGGCCAGAAGAGCAGGAGAGAGGCTGGCTGAGGAAACACAGGCAGAGGGCTGGTAACAGTCTGGATATGCAGCAGGGACATACAGGTCAGATTTGATGGAGTGCCCTGTGAACTCAGGGGTCATTCTAGACAGGCTCAAGGAAGCTGGGTGTCAGCATTGAGCGGTACTTCCAGCTCTGCCCAGCGAGCCCATGACCGCGGCCTGCACTCAGCTAACACTGGAGGATTTGCAACACTGAGCTAGGCCTCTTGGCTCAGCTAGAGACGGTGGCTAGGCCCTGTGCTGCAGAGAAGGATGGACACATTAGAGGGAAATGGACTCTGAAGAGGGGATAGCTGGTATTTGGCCAGGGAGCAGGACAGGGGCACAGATACCTGGTATGCTCTGGGCTTAATGAATCTGGAAGCTTCAGCTTCATAGGGTTAAAGCAAATCCCTCCTTTGCTAAATCCCTAGGATTCTGGACCCAATCTGTGGTTCTCTTGCCCCAGACTCTGGGACAGAGCCTGAAACAACCTCACAGTCACACCAGAATTTGTCTACCAGAATGGGACATAAGGCAGCACCCCAGGGTGCTCTCCAAGTCTCCAACCCTTTACTTTCAGAGTGTTCCTGGGGGTTTGGAGACTCGGTAACGCGTGCAGAGACTGGAGGTGGGCACTCGACAGCACTCAGTGACAACTGCTAGGCAAAGCTCCCACACACATCACCAAGCAAGACCCAACCCCCTCACCCACAGGGGCAGCGGGCTCAGGAGAAACACCCTGTGGCGGCTCACCTCCGTCACCTGCTGCTTGTCCAGCTGGAACACCTGTCCAGAGCTGGTGGACGCGATCTCCTCGTAGGCCAAGTAGCCAGGATGGGTGCGGTCACCACAGTCCCCGGTCAGCACGAAGACCACCTGGAAGATGGGCAAATGAGCCCGTGGCTTCCTGCTATACAGGAGGGCAGGAGCCCACCATGGGAGACATGGGAACAACCACAGTGTCCTGTGGGTGGGGACCAGGAGCTGATACAGGGCAAGCGCTCCCACAGCCAGGAACACGGCGGGTGTTTCCCGAGTAGAGTGACATCTACAACAAGGAAGGGTACCTAATTGGACTCCCCTTTGAGTGGCCTCCGGAGGCCACTGTGAGGAGAACCCTGAAGAACTCTGGAACAGTCTAGAGCAGTGATGTCATCCTAAACCTTGAGGCTTTCCCCAAGACAGACTGGTCCTTCTCCCCTCACCAGCCATCGGTACAAAAGCCAGAGGCAGAAGCCCCAACCTGTCTTCTGAGCCGTGACACAGGACTAGGGGACAGGCCTGAGGGTGAGAGTGGAGAAGTGTCGCACGGGCTTTGATGGGGTCTGAGAGGAGGAAGGGGTGAGGCCCGCACCAAGAGCGAGCCTTTAGAGAGGCCTGACTGCGACTGCGACTGCGGGCTAGGCTCTGGGGCTACCAAAGAGGCCTGGCTCCTCTCTGGCCTCCTGCATGGCTGCCCATCCCGTCCCTAAAGCTGGCCTCTCACCTGTGACTGCTTCAGCTGCAGGAGCTGCAGGAGCTCATTCTTCTTGTGGTGGTCCTTGGCACGGGCATCGGAGAAGACGTAGATGAAGGACCCAGGGTTGGCAACTTCCACAGCAGCCTTGATGGCGCCCACGCTCATCTCTGGGCAGTCACCGCCTCCCTGGGGGGTTGAAGTGTGTCGGCAGCCGCCACCTACCTCATCTGCAAGCGAGCAGCCTGGGCAAACCTCTAAAACCAGTGGAGTTGGGAGTCACCTCAGACCACCTCAGTGTGGCTCACTGGGTCAGGCTGGGGTCTCTGTTTGTCCCTCCCAGCAGCTGCCCTAGTTGTGACTTTAGACAAGTGTCAC